GATGGATACAGTAGGTTGTTGGTTTGTTGTATAAAAGTGTTGTTGCGGTTGCTGGACTTGCAAGTAAGGTGCCTGTCGTGGTAATTGCAGTTGTTGAGCAGGTAGTTGTGATTGACTATTAACAGGGTACATTGGAACAGCTCGCTGTTGGATTGTATAAGGTGCTGATTGGACTGTCTTTTGCTGCGGTTGTAAATAGATTTGAGGTTGAGAACCGATAGCTGCATATGGTGCAATCGCTTGTTCGGAAGCAACTATGTCGGTTCTTTGTCTTTGAGATTGAAGTAGCTGTGTTTGGGTGGCGGGTTGGACGGGAAATTGATTCGGTAATACTTCGGTTGCTAAAGTTCGATAAACAGGAGGCGCAAGTGTTATCTGCAAAAATAAGTCATAGGAATTTAGTTTAGTCTTAATTTAATTGGAACTCCATTTTGGTTCTTTAGTGGCTTATGAAGAACATTACTTACACAAAAATACTTTTTTTGATAATTTCAGCTTAACTGGGAAGAATAATGTCGAAATTCAAAGGGTATGCAAATGTGTCTTTAGCAAAAATTTCTTTTTCAAACTATCCAGTTTGTCTCTCTTGGTTCATTTTTAGTCTATTAAAGGAATCAGTAATTTACCGGTGGAAATGTGAATGGCGGAAATGTTGGGAAGGTAACTGCTGGGAATGATGGAAATGCAGTATCAAACAAAGCAGTTTGTTGACTTGACATGGGTGGAATTCTTGGTTGAGGCTGTTGTGGCAAATACTGATAATGGTATGAGGCGAGTGGTGATTCCTGTGTTGGTAGTGGAGATATCTGAAGCATACCGCAATCAAAAATTGAGACTGCCTGACAAAAATTGAGACACTGGCTCTATTTTTATTTTTGTTTAATCTTTTATCTGAAGCGGTATGCTCACTAATATAGCTTTTGTTCATCCTTTTATAAGATTTTTAAATCCAAACTCGCTGTATTCTGTATATATATATTATTACTGCTCTTCAGAAATATGTTGCCTTGACATTTTCATTTAGTCTGTTAAAATGAAAATATCAATTCAGGCTGTTTAAAACAGCCTTAACTTTTAATGTGTAGTTGTTTAAATTAATGCATCATTTACTTTATTTTAGCATCTAAGATATTTTTGGGGAGGTTTAAATTTGCGACTTACCAAGCTATATTTTGCGCCGTATGATGGATTTTGTGATGGGTGCTGTGGTAATAGCTGTTGGGTATTCACAGTTCTAGCTTGAGGTCGTTGGAATCGTTGGAAAACGTTGGACGAGTCATTCATAAACTTTGGTGAATATCGTTCCTGAAGTAATAGTGTTCTGTAAAGTCAAAAGTTTTGATAGGGTAGAAACTGAAGTTATCAGTGGAACTCTGAATGGAAATACATTATTAGCAGTACTTCAGGTCTTTTGTAACTAATATTACCGCACTATCTTTCTTTTTTTTTCTTTCAAAATATTGCATTGGGAATTGCATTGAAGCCTCGATAAAGTTACAAGATTTAATAATTGTGGGTCTTTCAAAATTTTAATGTAAATTTTGTACAAGATGCTCAGTATACAATTATATCACCATTACAGGAAGTATTTTAAAATCCGTTTTTTTCTGTAATTATCTGCAGGACTATTTAATAGTTCAGGAGTTGAGTTTCAAATATTCCGAAAGTTTAAAAAGTAATGAAGACAATAGGTATTTCTATAATGGACAATTTTCATACCGTTAAAAGTTCAGAAAAATATTATTTCCAGTAAAAATTTATTTTATAATTATCCCGTCCTTTCGGACTTTTTAGTTTGTAATTCGAAACTATTTTGAAAAAGTTTTCTGTAATTATGGGTAATTTCTCTAAAGATTTGATTTTTTTGTCAGTTTTTATTTTTTTGTTCCCTAAAAACACAAAAAAACCAGAGGAATTCAAGTCAAAAATGCAACATTATATTATCAACACCTGTGAAAGTACAAAGGATAAGTTATATAAGTAGAACGTATAACTTACTATTTAATAAAGTAATAAAGTACTGCTTAAAGAAATGTAAATTCTGCCAGTTGAGATTTCAAAGTTTATTACGAGCTCCATCAAATTTCTATTTTATAATTGGTATGGGGCATGCTTGTCTAGTGAAACAATTTGTAATAAATTTATCATAGGTATATGTCTCATGACTATTCTGTTACATGCCTGACAGTTTCCCATATAAGATGACACATACTGGTGTAGGAATTTCCTTCAAACATGGTCTACAAGTTTCGGGGCACATCGTAGCAATGAAAGTCACTCGACAGTGATGACAGCGGGCTCGTTCACAACTTGGCAAATCTGCACCAATGTTGCAGGTAAACATCGAAATTAATACCGGCAAAAGCACCAATGTCACATCCATTCGTGCACGCTATTCCTATAATTTATTCTCACAAATGAAAAATCAACAATTTGTTGATTTATCCGGTTATGATACGATTTCAGATCAAATGTGCATAAGGAAAAACAAGATTTCTTATGATTAGGCTGATTATGTGATGATAGCGAATGATTTCTGACATAGAGAATATTGTGCTTTGATAATTGTAGCTGATAATCATGATAGAAGTTTGAAATAACGTGGCAATTACCTTACCGTCTTCATTATATTCAAAGATGCTATGGTTTGAATGTAATCAATCACTTAAATTAATGTAGAGCAATCTTTGATTACACTGCTTCTTTTGTTTGGATTGTTCTATTCATAAATTAATATAGAGCAACCTGTGATTCTCTTTGCAATAAGAAAATGGTCCTAAATTTATCAATATCTTTTTATTTCATTTTCATCATTTATTAAGTGAGATAAGAAAGATTTTTTTATTATACGAATTAAAATGTTCCGTTTTCTATGGTTTACTCCGCATTTATTTTATCCTCAATGCTTTTCAACTGATGGGCGTGCTTTCTGACTCACTTGAGAAGTACAGTACATTTTGACCATATTTTCACATTTATCTGCTAATTAAATTACAAAAGTTGAGCCACTCGCCTTGTTCAATTTTGATAATTTATGAGTGGAGCTAACTATTAATGATACAGAAATGATCTCGTAAAGAAAAATGAAGAATAATTACTGTCATTATAAGATAATAATAGGAAAATAAGGCATTGATCAACCACTAGTTATAGTGAGCATTTATGACCCCAAATCGTTCAGTCAATAGAAAAATAATGTAACCAGTAAAAATTGTTCAAAAAGTTATTAGTGAGAATTAAAAGAAAGGAAAATTAAAGGAAATGTATTGAATCTCTTTCAAGTTCACATTTGTGAATTGTTCATCAAATAAATCGCTTACGAATAATTAATCCATGGAACTTGGATTAAGCTTCTCTCTTTACATTATTGCTTAAAAGATACGTACCAAGATTATTGCATTATAGCCTGTCTCTTCATTATTGTAATCGTTTGTCTCTTAGATAATGCTCAATATGGAAGATTGTAGAACTTCAAGAAGTACTAATTTCTTGATTGGTGGAAGCTAAAATTTCAAACGAGGAAGATCATCGAAATTAATAGGTAATAAAAAGCAATGTATGCTAAGGAATAAAATGTTAAAATTGAAGGAGAAGAAAGTAGTATGAAAGAGAAATCGGTAATAGATGATAATCAAGAAAGAATGGGAGAGAAGATAGATAGGTGATCGTTGTGAGTCTTTTTCACTTCACTTAATCAGGTATTAAAGCAGCGCGGTAGCGACGAAAACTGAAATTCTGTTATGGTTGGTTCCTTTTTGGAAGGCTGCCGAAATTATAAGAAAATGGAGAAAAACTTGGAGGAGTTGGTATGAAAAGACAGTTTATTAGAAATAGAAAATGGATTAAAATTGCGTTTGCAAATATGAACAAATTTTTCATCCACTCATCACTTGCCCGATCCATACAGAGATGATGGTCACTTGCAACTGTATTGTCCACCTAAACAGGAGAAAACTCCTATGGGGGGGGGGGAGAGGGGGATGGGGAAAAAAGAGAAATGGAAGGGACTTTCGGATCAAACCCATTCATCCTGAAGGGGATGGGTATAGGAGATTTTATTGAGATCGGGTTTGATTGCTGTTCCTGTTTGTCACCATTATGTGTATACATGGATGTGTTTGCGAGGTGGACAATTGAGTGTGGAAAACAATTGCCCATGTTGTGCGTAACACACAAAATAATCAGATGGGAAAATTAGAATTAGAGAACATACGGATGAACAAGGCAATAGACAGTGACACCCATTAATCAGCAGATTCCTTTCCTTATATTTCACGTTCAATCTTATCATCCACTCCTGCATTATTTCCTCACTAAAATCGGGAAAATCTTGCATTTTAGAATAGAATGGAAGGGACGGAAATTTCTTATGATCAGAAATTATTATTGGTGATCTTACTGCTGATAATTATTATCAGCACTTCTTCCCTATTGTAGTGACTTAATGAATAATAGTAATATTAAGGGTTTAGTGTGCTGTACTATATTACAGTTAAGGGGTCACTGAAACTAACAGGTAAGAGACCCGGAAAAGTCTGCATTCTATATCCGAATGTTAAGTTAAATTGAGGTAATACATTCCTTTCTTAAGATTACATGTACATATGCAATCAAATTTAAACTCGGAAGATATAATATCACTCGCAAACAATTCGAATAATTATTGGTACAGTTACTTTTCATGCATGAACTGTTTTTTGAGCCAGATTTACAAATGAGTAAAGAGTAAACGACATTCCTTACTAAAAATAGTCCCCAAATAAAGCATTTCATCAGTGATATTATTTAGTCTCATTTTTGCATCTTATTTAACGGAATAAATCCACTGAGAAGGAAATGTTGAGAACTCTAAGTTTTTCCATGATGGGAATTGTCAACTTCCTAAATATTTTCCTTTCTCATTCTCATCAACAACAGTGCCATAATTCATTTTATTTCACTAAAATCATCAACATTATTTGTCGTTATAATTTATGTGAGAGTGTTTGCAGTTTCCATTTTTAAATTTCTCGTGAATAGTGTTCTTTCTTCTTACATCGTAGATAAATCCAATTTAAAATTTGACTGCTAAATGGTAATAATGATGTTAATAAATTATCGGAGAAAAGTGTTGATACAGTATTTTCAAGATTAATTTTCGATAAGTCAATACCAGAGAACAGATCATCGAATCCGCAACCGGCATCACATAATTGTGTTGATTTTGCGTGATTGAATAGAGATGTGAAAGTCACAACAACATTGTAATATCGATATTCCATCGGTTTTAATGAACATTGTTTCATTGAAGAATTATTTTGAAGCGAAAGAAAAAAAAAACCTTCTCTCTACTTAAGGATTTTGAAGTCAAAAAAAAGCAAAATTATGAAAATTGGTCGTTAGTAATTATGAGTACAAAGGGATGTAAAGAAAACATCCGAAAAGTAACTAGTGATTATTAATTCTGAAACATTTAGTAAGAGATTTTTTAGTTTAAAGTTAAAAAGTACTAAATATCGTTCCATTCTTTCATTTTATGCTTACTAGTCATGAATTAACGTTACGTTTTTTTATTTTCATCAGTCTACTGACTTCCTTATGAAAATTGGATCATGTCATAAATGTCATACATGAGTAGTTTTCGTTTAAAACACTTTATTGTTGCTATGAAATGAAATGTAATGATAAAATGACTCTGAAACTATTCTTATTCCCCTTCAATGCAGATCAAGGTCTAGAACATTTCAAAGAGATATAGTGAGTGATGAGTAAAACTTGTGTTGAAAACATAGATTAAAAAATTTTGAAATTAAACACATCTCTTTATGATTTCACCCATTATTCTTACAAAATCATTATTCTTCTTAGTAAATTCTTACAAAATCATTATTCTTCTTAGTAAACAAAATCATTATTCTTCTTAGTAATTTACAATAGCACTGAAATGTTTGTTTTCCGATTTCTGGTGAAGAACAAAACTAGTCTAATCTAGTTGCGGTGATTAAAAGGTAACTCTTCACATAATAACCGTATTTCACAGTGTTCTTATTAATTTTTTAATTTTCATATGTTATTTCAGGTTCGTAGATTTAATAAAAGATACAACAAATGTGGAATATGTTAAACTTATCGTATCCTGCTTATACTACGGTTCTGAAGATTCTTTCAATCGTTTTATCCTCCAAACAGCTCTCACTAGTGCTAATGTGGTATCGTTTTTAAATCTTTTTTTGAAATGCACTTAAATGTTTTTTTTAGAAAAAATCTAGTTCAGAAGAACGACTACTGAGTGACATTAAAATATACTCATTTTTTTACGTATACCTATTTAAATCACGAATAATTTCATTCTGAAAAAAAATTAACTTCCTTGTTAATAAGATAGGAAAATTCAGCAAGTGCGGTAGTGTGACGCCAATAATGATTCGCGATTATGCAGTTAATATAATTCCTAATTATCGTTGCATTGATTCTGTTATCCGTTCGTCTTATTTGCCGTTATTGTTTTTACGGTTTTACTGTTGAAGAAATGCTAAATGATAGAACTTTTATCGAAAGCTTTTTTTGAAGTCACCTTTAAAAATGGTAAATTTACATGTTTTTCTGACTTTTTTGTATGCATAGACACTCATTTTTTAGGCTGGCAGGAAATGGGCAACTCAATTTTTAAGTATTTTGGCATCTCACAATATCAGTGATTTCTCATTCTGGGGGATAAAATTGTTGTTGGGACAACTCGCGGATCCCTCAGCAAAAGTTGTCCGGCATGCTTTACGTCTATTGCATCGTTGGATACCAGTATGTTGGCTGATTTGTTTCTTTGGAATTTCGCGAAATTTATCTCTTAAATAAGTCGGGGACGACATATTTCTCTCAACTCTTGAAGCCTTTTATTACCAAAAAATGGATTAGTTAAAGTTCTGAGCTATTAATCCTTGAAAATAGCATTAAGAAGAATTAAGAACGACTTAAATGAAATAAATGATGGTCTGCATTTTTGTTTATTTATTCTACATTTTATTAAATTTCAATCTCTGCTTCGCAGTATTACAGATACACAGTTCGTTCTTAATATTATTATGTTATACTTAACGTTGCATTGTCTATTTGCAGCATTATCTAGAGAGTGTTTATCTAATCAAAGACATATGTTTTGATATATTTGGTGATGCGGGGATTCTGTTGAAGACATATCTCTTCTCCAATGAGAGTTATGTAAAGGACAATTCTCGTGATGTCTTAGCAACTCTGGATTATTGGAAAAGGGTTTATTTGAATCATTTTTTATAAATAAGTCAGAAAGAATACGATTACATATGAAAACGTTGGAATGTGGAAGTTTAGAGTTTCTCTTTGTTTGATTGTGTAGTTATCATTCAGCTCTATTGCCACTTGATTATTTATCGCAGTTAAATCAGAAAATCATTTCCTTCGCTAATTTTGTTTGGTAGTCAGTTCATTATTTATTCTTAATTTTCGAATAAGTTTGTTTCCAATGTTGTGGAATTTAATGAATTGTAGTAATCACTATAAGTTTAGCTTCCATTCATTTGCGCAAACTTTGAAATCAGTATTGTGTTTTTATTCTTACAGATTATTATTTACAGAAATTTAATATGCGTTACGTCGAGATAGTTGATGAGGATGTCAGAGTTGCTTTGTTGGATTCGAAACGATCAATCAATGGACAATATGCAAGATCTTCAAATGAGCGGTTTGTTCATTAATATCATTCTCCATAACTTTTCATAGTTATTATTGCTAGACTACTCCAATAACCAATAATATGCATTAAACCATTTAAAGCACTCAAGTTGAAGACTTCTTCAACACTATTTTATATCAATAGCAGTATCGTAGCTGATGTTGCGAAGGACTTTTTCCATTTATTCATTTATCTGGCTGAAATTAATGATATCTTACGATGCACAACATACTTCTCATGAATTCTGAAAACGAGAAGTGAAACATTTCGAACTATTTCGTGATTTTTCTTTCAGAACAAATTGAAAGAGATTCTATCAAGTATTGCATTCGTAAACGGTAATTATAAAATTAAAAATGAAGTTTAATATTTTACAGCAATGACTACATTTTTTAAATTTAGAGTTTCCAAGTTAGGTGTGCCAATGCCAGTACATCTTTATGGACAGCTAGTACAACATGACACTGGTCGTGAACTACTGCTGAGATCAAATGAAGTTGACAGATTGCTTGATGTTTTACGTGACTCGCCTTTACCAACAGATACTTATCAAACATCTAAATTAAAAGGTGCGCTCTACGCGTTGGGTCATATTGTTGCCAATCTGAATCCAAGTAAGTTCTTTAAAAAAATTTCCAACTTACACGGTCCCATGTTTTTCCAGCTCTGGTAAAAATCTTTTCAGGCCTTTTGCCTATGGAAACAGTGCCAATTATTTGTCGCTTTGCTGAATGTTGTCCAGTTCTTAGTATTCGAGGCTCAGCTTTTTGGGTCCTTAATCTTATTGGCAATACACAACTTGGTTAGTAAATCTGAACGTTGATTTTGTGACTTTGTGAAGAATTTGGTTTTCATTCTTCGGAATAATTTTAATTGATTTGAAAGTTAACTGATTCAAGGATAATTTTTTGGTTCATTCTATAACCTTAGAATTAAGACATTTAATGGTTGTAAATTAATAAATCTTACATCAACCTGATGAACCGATACAACTGTAATGAACTTAGATGATGTTATAAATGTGGGCTTACTTACCTAGAGTACTTATTTCCTCTATATATGTTATTTTTTTTTTTGCAGGTTCTGTTTTGCTGTTGTCACTAGGCTGGGAAAGCAGCAATTTTATTATTGGTGAGAAAAAATCGAATATGTTACTACTAAAGGCAGCCAATATAGATATAAATAAAATCTGGATTCGTTGCATCGATGAAAAACTTCCTTCACAACAAGAAACAAACTTGGTAAATGAAATATGCAGATTATCTTTGGAAGAAAATCATTTCATATTTCCAATGTTAAATGCAGAGTTTCATTTCACAAATAGTTTTTATTTATCGGGTTTTATGTCTTTTACTATTTCTCTTCGGAAACCTCCAATTTTATTATTATTTAGTAATATGATTTTACTTAGGAATATTTAAAATGTGCGATTCATATTTTCTCATACTGCATTCAGTTTCTGCGATATTAAAAACTGCAGACTAACATATGCTATTTAAGAAAGAAAGAAAGAAAAAAACGATTTTTTAGAAAACTTTTGGCGTTAATCTTGTGAGCTCGAGATTTATCACGAATAAGAATGGGACAGTTCCATTTACTGGTACCAAATTTCATATTTAAAACAGCATTTAATACTTGTTTTCTTAAAGTGACAACACTATTAGAAAATATATTGAACTAGCAATTTAGATTATGGAACACTTTGGCACCGAAAAATGAATTGCTCAATTGAAACTCGTCATGTTTCTAGCTGTGTGACTTTTGAACTTGAAAGTCGATTGTTTAATCATGGCAATATTAGTGTTATGGAAACGGAAGGTGTAAGCGTTCTAGCTCTTTTTATTTATAGATATTCTAAGGTCTGTTCTTATTTTAAATCCTGATTAACCGCTTTTTTAATAGAATGGTCATTACCGATACCCCTGTGTGCTATGCTTCCTAAGAGGTTGTTATATTCGCATTACACTACACCATGACATTATGGAAATTAATATTCTGGCAGTGAAATGCTTATGCATTCCGTAGAAAAATTCTAAGAAAACTATAAAGCTTTAAACATTTTTTGTCGTATAGATAAGAGAAGATTGTTTAATGATTCGCAGTCAGTTTCGCCTACCATCATTTTCGTTTGACACAGCGCTAAATTATACCGCTATATCAGATAATAAGGTGATTTGTTTTTGACTGTTTTGCTCCACAGTATTGATAATTTTTTTTAAAAAAATTTATTTAATGTGTTTTCAAGAGCAAACAGAAATTGTAGATTTAAAAACCTATCATTTTTTGTATCATGAAATAGTTGCTATAAGTTACAAAGAAATGGTCAGGCTATGTTCTTCAAAATAGGTTATAGTGGAAAAGAAGATACTAAGCTTCCATTTCGATCATTACAGAAGCAATCGTTTATTGGAAAGACTTAAATATGATTACTTTAACCTGAAGTTTAATGGATAAAACACTACAAAAATTATTTTATTTGCAGTTTCTGTGTTTGTGTGGCTTTCTGAATCCTTTGGAAAGTAAACACAGAAAACTTTCGAGAAAAACTGATTCAGAAACGACAAAATCTCGACCGGTCAACTTTTCCGATCAGTCCATCTC